AAGTATTGTGTTGCTTATATGGCAAATTAATTTTAGCCTGAGATTTCAATTTTAGGGTCATATTGGTTTGAGTGCACGACAGAGGGATGTGATGCACAAGTCTTTATGGAAAACACTTTCCTAGGGTATCTATGGCAGCATTCATAGGGTCATGGAGTGGTTTGGGTTGGAAGGAACCCTAAAGATTATCTTGTTCCAACCCCCTCTGTCACAGACAGGGACACACCCTACTAGCACAGGTCACTTTAGGGGTGCATTCAAAGAATTCTCATGCTTTCCTGCTCTATTTGTATGATTTCCTTAAAATTATAATCCTTCTGGTTTGACAAATGACAATGAAAATATTCTTTACCTTTTTTGTATTTTAAAACAGTTAACTTGCCCAAGAAGAGTCAAGAATTGAAATGAAGACTGCCAGGAAGGAGTGAAAATTGAATTCTACAAAGAAGTTTTGTCTGGAAAAGTGAGAGTGTTTTAGGAGGGTGGGAGGATTCTTTTCACCCCTGCCCTCTGAAGAAGATGTATTTTGAATCTTGTATTTTGGTAACGATTGTAAAGAAAACAAAGAAAGCTCTTATCAGTTTGATGCTCAGCAATATAAAACCAGAAGTAAGTACATTGAATGCATCAGCTAACTTCATTCTCCTTGTGTTTTTGCAGTTATTTTCTTTGAAAGACCCTAGTCAAGTCTGGCCATTCCTTATTTAAAGTTTTATTTAAATTCAGAATTATTCAATGTATCTATAAAATTGTTCATTTTGTAGCATGACTTTCGGTTCACTACATTTCAGGAGACATTATTAATTCTTTTTCAGCATTCTCTGCAACATGAGAAAACAAAAAGCAAACATTACTTGAAACTCTAATTGCTTGCAAAGTGTCAGAGGTGAAGCTGAAGAATTCCTTAAGTCTGTTTTTATACACATACAGCTTGAAGACACTTTGTCATTTGGATGACTCCTTGACCTTTTGGAATAAGTATGACAGTTAAGATAAGCTGATGAATAAATGCTTATCCTGTTTACAGGAATTAGGGTATTGGTCTATAACTGAGCATCAGGGTGGCATTCTCTGTAGAAGACCTGAGCTTCCTCCACAGTACATGGAGAGAGTTGAGAATTCATAAGAGCCAATATGATCATTGGGAAATTTTTGTTTTAGCCACATAGATATGGTTAAGCAAGGCAGAGAGTAACATTTAGTCCCTTTGACCTAAGACTGCAGGGAAGCAGACTCAGTGCTGATGTGTTAATAGCTTTTAGGATATGAGAGAAACAGTTTAGAGGCTTTGAAGATGTTTAACCTACTTAGCTCACCTACAAAAAGGATAATCTGTTTGCCAGCTTCAAGAGGATTACAAGCAACCCTTAGCAGTCTCCTGCAAAACTTGCTTCAGAGAGGTCATTCATGCTCAGAACAATCTATCTCACTAATTCTGTGATTTAGCACTTCATTGTGGCTCAAAACGGACCCAAATTGATTGTCCTTATGCACTGTGCTTTGGTTCATTTGATAGAGCTGTCTCAGAGCATGGGACTCCTTTGGGGAATAAAACAAGAAGGTGTGCTCCAACCATGACATTCAATCTATGTGTTCAGACTAAAGCTATTCCGAAGTTAACCCCTGAAATGTGCATTGAGGCTGAGCATTCGACAGCTACACAACATTTGTTTATAAAAGGACTTCATTTGGATGAGTCTGATTGCACACAGGCGTGAGCATGTGCAAAACCAGCAGCACCAGCACACACCTTCCTCTCTGGTCTCTCTTGTACAGCTTGTACTAAATATACACTTCTAAAAGGCACACTATTTCCCTTTGACATTACCAAGAGATTGAGATCTTCTAGATCTTGGCACAGCTAAAAACCAAAGAAAGGATTATTCTGGCAGGAAACTCCCTGTAGAGAGAGGTATTCCTCAGTTCTGCTGTGTTACTTGGCAAAGCACCATTCTTTAACTGAACTAGATGACAAACCGTTGTTTCCCCCTCCCCCATCTTCTTTATGGGCAGATTAAACCTTATATATAACCTATGATAGAAAAGAGATAAATTCATTTTACTCCTATTCCATCTTTCCAGTTATAGCAGAGTTCTCTAGCATTAAAGACCTGCTGTAGTTAACCTCTAAATAGAAAGCAAAGCAAATATGGACAAGGTCAGGTGAAAAACCAAGATATTGAAGGTAACTAAAACATAGTTCTAAAGTACAGCTGCAATGAGCATTATGTATTGAATAAAACACTTCCTTTCATGCTAGCAGTCGATGCAGTGACAGTCTCCGTCTTCCAAAGGAAGTAATCAGATACACATTATATTGCTAAATTAGTTAGTGGAGCCACAGGTACAGAAAAGCAAATGATAAAATTGAGACATGATGTAAACAGATGAAGCTCATGATAATGGGCTAGCTAGTTACAACAGTGAGGTAAATATTATATTAGTAAACAGGTCAGAACATAGGTGTAATTTTCCTCACCTTAATCTCCAAAGCCTGTTTATTACATACAAACAAAGCAGCACTTCTGAGAAAACGGAATAGAAAGTAAATAACATAGGACATAGATTGCTACATTTAATAATTCCTAACTATAATAAATAACAAGAAAAAAAGTATTATTTTTAAAGGGTAGGGAAAGTTCTAGGGTTTTTTTAGAGAAACTGAAAGACTAACATAATATTAACAAAATGAGAAGTGCCTCTGAAAGAAGAGTTGACAAACTAAAAACAACATTATGTGCTTATCCTGCACTTTCAGAAAGGGTCCTTATCTCACTGAACATGAAGTGAAGAACTGCTCACAGAACTATCTGAACTTCTGACTGCTCATTACCTGTAATAGCTAGGATAAATAAGTTATCATTAAATCAAGAATTGAAGCAAGGTATATATGATTCCTATTGATTGTCCACACAGATACATTTCTCCAATTGTAAGAAAATTTGAAAATGTATTACTCTCTTAAGCAAATAGTAAAGCACCTTAAAAGATTTACAGATCTTGAGAGCATGCAGTGTCAAGGCTCAGTAAGGTAGAAAACTGAATTTAATCTACTAAGAGCCTGCAGAACAGAATCTCTATTTGTATCAGCCTCTCAAATTTATTTACTCTTCAGTAGTCTTGTTTGAATTAATACAGAATCTTCCATTTAATTTTTAAACCATATTTTCAAAGTTCTCTGTGTCTGTGGCTCTGCAAATGAATCTTGAATTTCATGGTCCAACAAAAAACTTTATTTGCAAATTTTTACATACTTTGGACAACTAATGCTTAGGAAGTCTATCTTAGCTAAGCACCTTGATAGTAACGATTAAAATATTAACTACTGCATTTTTAGGATAGTGTACTTGAAGCAATGGTTTGGGTATTTGCTGACATTTTCAGGAATGGCTTCAGTTTTGCCACTCTTCCTGTCCAAGTGTGTGCGTCACCATCAGGAGACAGTCTAGGCTGTAACACCACCCACAGCCAAATTATTCTGTCTCTTATCCTCCCCCCCTGCCCAAGTGAGATGGTGCAGTTTGATTTGTTGCCAAACATACTGAGTTTGAGTAACTTAGATACCTCGGGGAGTAAAATATCTGTGAAAAAAAAACTGGATCCATCTCCCACCTGCCCATTATAACTGTTACAACCCTTTAGAGAAGGTTAAACACAGAGACTGGCAGTACCCTGCACTCTTTTTGTTTTATTTCTGGCTAACAGACAATCTCTAACCAGTCATCCATTTGAAAAATGGTTTTGTGTTTTTTCTGCTCACATCCTCATTAAAGCAGTTATCCATTACTTGGTCATAATGCAACGTATTTTACTCGTGACTCACCTCTGAGGCTATCCTGAGGGCTGAAGATAATGCTTCTGATGGCAGCTGGGATTCCAGCTTAGCCCTGCTTAGCATGTCTGTTTTCTGCATTGAAACGGCTTGAATTTTTTTTTTTTTTTTTAATTCAAGCCATCATTTTTAACACTGCACCTACCAACGAAGAAAAATCGCTGTTCCTCACCTGTCGTGGGCCGGGTTAGACACGCCCCGGGAGAGATTCGCTCCCCCTGCTGGCCCGTGGCTGCGAAATTCCCCTTGGATCGACTGAGATAATCCACGGCGACTCGGTATGGAGTGGCTCTTTACGGGGGTTTAATTTTTGCCGCGGATACGGTTGAGACATTGAAATCAATCCAAGATATTATCTGCTGTAAAAAACCTACAGGTGTTTCACTGCCTTCCACCAATTCCAACAAAATTTTAACATGCACGAAATCTTAATTTAAAAAATGCTAAATAGTTTCCCAAGGAAACTAAAGGTTCATCGGCAACCTCGGGCTCATACCACAAAAGTTACAGTTTAACTTGCCCTGTGGCTCTTGTCAAATACTCTGCTCCCCCTCCAGCACGGCCAATCTCACAGCGACAGCAAAGATCACGTCTCTGCCCGGGCAAGAATGATATGTAAAAGCAACTGAACTTCAATGGTTGTTAGACTGACAAGTCACAAACAGCTTCGCAGCACCCCATTTGTGTACTTGAAAGATCCCGCTACACCGTTTAGCTCAAGTCCGAGGGTAACAAAGTTATAATATATAGATGTTTAAGAAAGAAAAGCAAAAAAGCAAAAAAAAAAAACCAACACAACCTCTTCATACTCTAAGTGTTGTTTGCTATAGGATATTTTTTCTTCCATGGATTAAAGAAACCATAGACTGATGTAGTTCCTACTAAAGTAAAAGCCATCCTATTTTCATGGCTCAAACTGATAATGTGACTGGTAAGTGCTGGAAATTATACTGTATAATTTTATTAGCATTTAAAGAGGAAAAGCTGTTGCTGGTTCAGTGATGCAGTGGGTCAGGGTTTTCAAAAGCATGGTATGAACATGAGAGAGCAATTAAAATACCACAAAGAGCATAACTCGCATACAATACTCAATTTTTTATCACAGAGATATTAAGAACCCATCACTACCAATAAAAAAAGCAGAAACAAAACCTAATGCTCGCAATACCTTTAGTGAGAGTCCTCCATATGCTGGTCAGCTACAAGAATGTGCCATAGATCTTCCTGTTCTGGCAGAGAAATGCTCGCTCATCTCTGGGCATCCTAAGCAAAGAGCTGTGTCAAGTGGTGGCAGCAAATTGAACAACAGCCATTGCAAATTGACTTTTAGAATGGATTACACTAGACTATATTTAATATACACATGATTATCTTGACTAAACAGCAGTATTTCAGTTAAGTCACTTTTGGAAGGGAATTGTTCACACTCTAATTTAGTTCAGTTTAATTTTGCAGGTTTCTCTTCTTATAAAGTTCTAATAAGGTTTAAGTATTTCAGTTTGATAAATTCAGGTCAATACCCCCAAGTATGACTTTACCAAAGGGGTTCTCCTTTTCATACTCTCGTTTTGTATAAAGCTCTGTCTTGGTGAAATTTTATAGACTGTATACATTCTTTGTTGTGGAATATTTCCTTGGGTAGTAGTTATAACATAAATTCATGTCTGATCACAACTGACTATTTTTAGAGATGTTTCAAGGAAAAAAATGGAAATTTGCTGGTTTAATTATTCAAGGAGATTTTTCTTCCTTCCCATGACACATGCAGAGCTGGAATAGCCATATATTCCATAACCACTGTTTGAGGAAAAAGAGCAATGTCACCATCCATAAATTGAGTATGTAATTCTGAGCCTGGGAAAGATCAAGTACTTGATTCAAATTGAAAAAAAAATTGAAACAGTAAAATCAAAAGTGTTTTGAAGGGAGTACATTCCTTAAATAATCTCCACACACAAATAACTTATTCACATCAGAAATCCCAGTGAACTGTAATCCTCATGTCAGAAAGTGTTGCATGACAAGGACTTCCGATGTTGCAGATTAAGGAATACACTGGAAAAACGTACTTGTCTTCCACTCATCTGGAACTGTCATTCACACCCATGTAATCCTCTTGATCAGCCAGCACATAAGAAATATGGGTTCCAAAACAATTTATAATACTTGAATGATAAAAAGTCAGACTGATTTTGTCTCCTCTCCAGAAGTTTATTTAGAGTTGAAGAGAAGTCCCTTTGCTTGCTTTGTTTCACAAATTTATTCCAGATTTTATTGTAATGTAACTTTTAAACTCAGGAACTTGTTCAATAACCTCCTAATTCTAACCCAAAATTTATTTTGTTTTCTAGCAGTTTAAAGGCAGCAGACATACATTTATACAGACATTTTAGTAATTTAACTTTACCTGATGTGATTTTCAAGCTCACATTTGCAATCTGCATCACATCTGAAATATTCCGAAAGTAGTCAGGAATTCCCAACAAGCCATTCTTTCCAGGTGAGCAGTATGCAGCAAATCCTAACAGCAGGCTTGGAAAAATCAGCAGCATGATTTATGTAATACCTATAAATTAAAAGGATTAACAGCTAAGGTTAATATTTTCATTGTATTACCACCAGTCAAAAGATTTTACCTCAGCAGTGGTTTGTTGATCTGGATGAGAATGATCATACTGCTTGCTTTCTTAAGCCGCTTAGCGTTTAAACAATTGTAATTTGGAATTGGATAAGCTTTCTTACCATTTTTATGGTCTATTTCATGGTTTATGATCCATGAACATAACTGTTCTTCTATGCATGATCTTTTTTTTCCTGTTTCTCTCATGTCCCTTTAGATCCTGCAACAAGCAAAGGTCCAATTTCACCATGACTCTTAGGGATCTGTTAAATGCCATACTATACACTTAAGCACTACTATTTAATATTTGACTGCTGTGATTGAATTGTCACAGTCTCAAGAATCACAGGGCTGTGATCCTCAGGAGGTAATTCACCCTTTGGAGCTGAGAAAAGCCTCAAGGCAAAGCTTCAACAGGTTTAGACACGGTCCCTCTAGGGTAATTAGACTGGAACAATGTTTAATACATTAATTTATTAATTAATGTTTTAGGCCTCACAAGGTCAATAAACTTTCCATCAGCATAGCTTCACTTGATAAACTACTAATTCCATTCCTTCCTGTCTTGATCAGTGGCAGTTTACTCTTCTTATTATACTGGTTAGAACTTCTAATGATTTCTTTATGCAGTCCTACCATACAGGTCACATCTGTTACCACAGTATTTGTGGGGGCATCTCTACAAGACTGGTGAACTGCACTACTGACATTGCCATCACTAATGTTGCTGAATAAAAGTAAACAGAATCAGAAAATCCTTACTTGTAAAGAACCCACAAAAATCACTGAGTCCAGCTCCTGGTCCTACACAGGACAGCCCCAAGATGGGCCTGAGAGCCCTGTCCAAACATTCCTTGAGCTCTGTCAGGCTTGGTGCTGTAATCAGTTCCTTGGGGAGCCTCTTCAGTGCCCAATTCCTCTGTTGGGGAGAACCTTTTCCTTATATCCAACCTAAACTTCCCCCGATACAACTTCAGCCATTCCCTTGAGTGCCGCCACTGGTCACCAGAGCAGAGATCAGTGTCTGTCCCGCCATTGGCCTTCATGAGGAAGCTCCAGGACCACAATAATGTCTGACTTCAGCTGAACAAGCCAAGTGACCTCAGGTACTCCTCAAATGGCTTCCTTTCCAGACCCTTCACAATGTTCGTCATGATACTATCAGAACACAATTATGTCCACAGAGAGGGGAAAAACCAATTCCTCTCATTTGAGAGAACACTGAAGAGAGCTCCAGTCCGGCCGTTCCGTGGGCAGGAGGTGTGCACCACCTGCCCGGCCCAGGGATGGCGTCATTGCCTGGCCCAGGGAAGGTGTCCCCGCCTACACCTGCCGCTGTCAGACTGGCCACGGCTTAAAGGAACGACAGCACAGCGCCCCGTGGGCCTCGTGCTCACTCAGAGGCTTTTATCGGGCAATGGCATTTGCATTTTGTGCGCTCCGACGTGACAAAGCCCAGGTCACAGCAAGCCCCGGGGCTCAGCGCGGCCCCGCCGCCTCTCCACCCTCAGGGCAGCGGGGCGCACGCGCACCGCCCTCTCAGCCAGGAGTGACGTCACTGTGCGGAAGGAATCCCACGAGCTGCTCGCGTCAGGCGGCTTCCGGGAGAACCAACTGGAGCCTTAAAGGGCCGCAGCGGCTCCGGGTGGTGGCGGCCCCGGGCTCGGCCGTACCGGTGTCTGCACGCCCGGTCAGACGGCGCCGCCCGCACACGGCCACAAACCGGGCAGGGCGGGCTCCGGCCCGCTGAAGGGAAAGGAGCGCGGGGGCGGGGCCGCAGGCAGCCAACCAATCAACAGCCAAGAGCTTCCCAGCCGCCCCCAATCAGCAGCCTCGGTTCCCAAAACAATCGTGGCGAGCCAATGGGAAGCGCGCGCCGCTCGCGCGCGGCTCAGGCCGCCCCCGGGCTGTGCCCGCGGCCTCCCGGCAGCAGGGGGCGCGCGGGGGCGGCGGCGCTGCGCGGGCGGCGCGGAGGAGGCGCTGCCGCCGCTCTCGGTGTCGTTATCGCCGTCGCCGCTGTCGCGCCCGTCCCGCCGGCCCCGCCTCCCGCTGCGCTCCCGCGGCCTCACAGCAGGTACGGGCGGGGGGAGGGACAGACACGCTGCATCCCGGTGCCCCCGCGGCACCCTCCGCCCGAGGAAGGAGTGCCCAGACGCGGCCGGCCCTGTTGCCGTTCCGCCCCGCTCCGGGCGCGGGGAGTCGGTCCCGCCCGTCCCTTCCCACGCCTCGGGGCCGCCGCTCCCCGCCGAGCTGGAGCCGCGGGCTCGCCGCGCCCCTCCCGCGGCGGGGGTCGTGTGTCCTCCCGGCCGTGGCCGCTGTCGGTGCCGCCGGAGCCGCGGCCGGGCCGGCCCCGGAGGGCTGTCCCCGCCGCCGGCGCCGCTCGGCGCGAACAAAGGCGGCGGGCGGGCGCGCCGGGGCAGCACAGCCCGCGGGTCAGGAGCGCTCCTGTTGCGCCTTGGCTGGAACAAACCCCGCAGAGCGCTGACAGCGGCCGGGCCGGGGCCCGTCCTCTGCCCGCGGCCCCGGGAGGAGTTGTTGGGTTCCGCACTCAGGTGCGCGGTGGTGACCCGGTCGTTCCCCCAGCCCGGGAAATGCCTGCGCGCCCTGCCTCGCTGTGCCCGGGCAGCTCTGGAAGCGTTTTGTTACGGAAAGTCAGAACCGGCTTACAGGAAGTGGGAAAGAAACCCCAAACCAACCCCACAACCAAAAACAGCAACGAAACTCGAATGTTGTCGATCGTAGTGACCAAAATCGAGTATCAAAAGTTCATCTTGGTTTAAACCCTGTTGATAAATCTGGATTTATTGGTAAGATGCTCTTCCTGCGGTTAGGGTTTGGGATCTATTCTTTACTGAAGTATCTGAGAGAACTGTAAACCGAAGTCTTCCAGTCCTGCTTCTTAATCTCCTAGAGAAGTGAGATGACTTCACAAAGCATTTTTGTTCTCTCCTGTTTCTTACATGGATTAAAAAAAATTGTAGTACAGCTGTGGAAATAAAAAATAAATCTTGAAAACTATCTTATTATTTTGTGGATAGGGAAGAAGTGGGAGGAGATGCAACTAAATACCGAAGGTAAGTAAGGAGTGGGAAATTAGTACATCTTAAATTACTGCTATATGTTCTGTTTTCTTTTATTCACATATTTTGTTTTGACTGCAGTCAAGTTCACTTTTTAGAAATAAAAGGTGGAACTGCATTATGTCTGTGTTAGGTGTTTTTTTGAGCTGACATAAGAGAATTCGGTGATTGTGGCCAGAAGTACTAGATTAAGCAGAGAAGTTAACTTGGGGCTATTGAAATGTGTCTTGTGTAATGTGTTTCCTGTTTCTTCCCCAGCATCTTGCATGTTTGAAATGTCTCATAAAACGGCTCAATAATGCGTGAACACGAGCATAAAATCTTTTGTGCTTTTGCGGTCTGAGGAACACATTTGTTTTGTACGGATTTTGTATTAAAGTTTCTATTTTCCCTTCCTTATTTTGATGCCAGTCCAAGTCTGATGAGCAGTTTACAATCTCTGTAAGGCAGGCTTTAGTTTGCACTGTAGTTTATTATCTGTAATTATGCTTTTAATCTGTCAGATGGTGGGAAGGGCAATAAAACAGCTTTGACAAGTCTGCTTTCTGGCAAGGCTTATTCTGTAATGGCACGTGCTCAGTGTCCAGTTGGATCCTTGGCTGGGGTGGAGTGGGGGATAGTGGAGGTGTTTGTGTGGGTGGCATCCCTTGAGGAAGTGATTTGGGTGTAGCTGCCTGTGTGCCAGTCCTCACTTGGCTCTGTCGAGGCAGAGTTCTGCTTTCCTGTGCCCCTGGGGTGGGAATTAACCCGTATGTAGCTTTTGGATCCAGGTGCCTGAAAGTATTGTGCTTGTTGCTGCTGTTAGTGGTGCAGGAGGTAGCAGCAGAGATAGGCTTTTGCTTCTAGTAGGTAAGAGGGATTTATATTGCCTGCCTCTTAGTCCTATCTTCACTCCTGCTGTTCTGTTTCAGTCTTGCTCTTTGCAGTGTTCCCTTTATTCTAGGGTGTAACTTCTCTCCTTTGGAGTAGTTTTCCTGTATGGAAACAGGTGAATTGTTTGTGGTGGTGAATTGTTTGTGGTGTTGTTTTATACACGGGCTTCTGGTTGCACAGATTCTGACCAAAGTTTTGACAAAATGATGGTATAGATGATGGGTTCATTTCTGTCAGAATTGAGGGGGAGAAGGCTGATGCTAGGATACAGGAGGGATTTCTTCACTTGGCGTGATTTTATTTGGTAATTCAGCTGAACCATTGAGGCTGATAGAGATCTATCAACTGCAGTAAATTTTCCATGTGCTTTGTACTGTATAGAATTTTGAGATTCCTGTCACCTGTGTGTTTATAGTGAACTCGGTGATGCATGTCAGGAGGATATGCTCCTGTAATTTAAAAGAACACATCTATACACTACCCTTGCTTTGTAAGTTTTAGTTCTGTAGGGAGAGAAAAGCAGCAAGGATCACTGACTTCCAGTTTTTTTCAGCATTTAGGCCTGAAGGTGCAGAGAATACTTACCTAAGTATTTATAATAGCCAGAGCATAAATACCTATAACAAACAATAACAGAATTATTTGGTCAGCTGAAGGTCATTAATTCCCAGGGGAAGTAGTTCTTGTCCCCAGAGGATGTTATGCATTTTCACGGCATTCTCCACTCATCTCTAAATAAGTAATGTACAAAACTCTATGCAAGAGGAGAAAGGATCAGATCCTTCCCAGTTCCCTGTCCTGTGGGACTGAATTTTCAACTGGGCATGGCAAACTGTAGATAGTTGCTCTCTGGTTCTGCAGTTTAGAAATGGAAAAGCTCAACTCTTTATAGTTTTACACACTGGTACCTTCCTTTTTACAATAGCCAAGGCTTTCTTCAAAAAAACCTAAATTTCTACATTCTGTATAAATTTATTCACTTGTGTTCCAGAGATTTGCTTTGCAAAGATAGTCTAGCAATTGTACTCAACACCCTTGTGCCTGAATATGGCACATGGTATATACTAGATAATGGGAATGTCCTTTAAAATGTACCTTGAATGCCTTAGAAGTGCTAAAATACAGAAGAGAATAAAACTATTTTGCCACAGGCTGGAAGGAAGGGAAATAACTAATAAGAGCCATAAGTGGCTTTGTGGAAGAGAGAAGTAGAAGTGTTCCTGCTGCCTGCACTGGCACAGACCTGTTGTCCTTTGTATCTCCTGTTTGTATGGGTGGACCAGCATCTGTCAGAAAAGGTGTCACTGGCTCCTGGCAGAGACCTTTCTGTCTCTTGGCTTCTGCTCCTGAGAAACAGGATGAGTTAAAGCCTGTGATGAAGATAAAACAGATAAATTGTTCTTTAAAATGTCTAGGCAGCCTTTTTTTTTCTTTACTACATTTAGTAAATTGAGCTTGTATAGCTCAATTCTCTCATAGCAGTAGTTGTAGAAATGCTGCATTTAATGCAATAATTAGTTCTGCCTGTGATGTTAATTAGTGATACATTAGTCTGCTTTTTTTTTTTTTTTCAGCTCCTGTACTATTTTTTCTTTATTTTAGGTTGTTTCTCTTGGTGAATTGCACAAAGAGTAAAGCAAAAGTATAGGCTTTGCTTTTCTAGTAATTTTTCAAGCAAGAAAGCAACATTTAGACTATTTAAATGTATGTATATACGTAAGTTTATTTTTCTTTAAATTCTGTCCCTGCAAAAAGGGAAGGGCTGTTGCTACATAGGCAGGAGTTTCATCTTGGAAAGTGGATGGATGACATTAAAAGGCAAGACTGATTGTTATTTGCCTTGTATATAACTGAGTCTTAACGTGTTTCTGGTTGCTTCAGAGGATATAAGGAAAATTTGGGTGGAAGAGATAATGTTAAAGGTGCTGTCTGAAACAATTTAAAATCCTCTGCAAAATCATAAAATATTGGGGCAATTTGACAGTCAAAGTATTCTAAGAAAAGATAAATTTTTGCCTGAAAAAAATAGAAAACTACTTTGAATAATAAATTTCAGCACTCACATATGTTCATCATTTGCTAGCTATTCTTATGTATGCAATGGCAGTTTGTAACATTTCCATTAACTTTATTGTTGTGGAGAAATGGGATCTGCACATCCTCATGTTCAATATATCATTCTTTAATCATTCTTTATATAATTCTTTTAGAGGTGATAAGTAAATGCATGTGTCACTGTGTTGGACTTTTCTCATGTCATTGCAAGTTGGGGTGGGATACTAGGATTTCTTAAAATTATTAAAGCTGATTTTAATTTTGCCCAATAAAGCTGATTTTAATTTTGCCCAGATTGTGGCATATACAAGATTGTGGCAAGGTATTACATTGTCAGCTGTTAATTCACAGGACTAAAATGTGGTTTTAAAAGCTTAGTTTTGAGGGAAAACATCTGCTACTATTCCTGCTTTCTTTGATTAGTGTGATAATTTTTTATTCTTACAAGATTTTGTTTGAATTCTAAAACCTAATCCATGAGTGAGTAAATAAAAACTATTCACATGCAAAATAAAGTGTCCTTTAGGCATTTACATTTTGATTTCTTAGTGGATATGCTGTTATTTATTAAAAACTTCATCATATAGCAAAAGTCTAGTATGCATTATTAACTTTTAGAAGAAAAGGTGATGCATAAAATTACATTACAAACAGTTAGTTC